GCGCAGCCAAGCGAAGGCCGGGTCCGCCGTCTGCGGTCGCGAGAGAAGAGGAGTTCCGGGCTCAGTCGGGCTGGAACGACTGCCTGGGCCGGGCCGCTGGGCGGGGCGGAGCCGCCGCCGTGATGGCGCGGGGCAGGGGGCGGCCGCAGGACGGGCTGGGCTGGGCTGCGTGCGTGCCGTGCTCTGCGGGGCGGACGCGGCTGCCGGCTGGGTTGGCGAGCCCGAGGGCGGCAGCGGGAGGCTTTCTCTCGCCGAGGCAGGATTCCTTTTGCCGGGTTGGCGAAACAGACCGACCCGTATCACGTACGGCAGTCAGTGCGGTGTGGCAGTTAGTTGGTGCCTGTGGCAGTTCGGAATGGATCGCACTGGGTACGTAGGGTCGCCCCCGAGTACGTTGCCCGGTGCGATTCAAGGGAACGTACGGCCAGCCGGACGGACCGCAACCCCACGCAGAACCCATGGTATGACTGCACAGAAGACTTATTAGGACCTTTATTCAGGGATTTAGGGATGGTCGTATTCCTACGGCGGCTTTGGGGTAAAGCTCTACGCACAGCTCCGTTCCATTGGCAGAGTGGTTGAGAGGAGTGAAAGGAGCGCCAGGACAGCATGTGTGACCACAGGGTGTGTGACCACAAGGATGTGCGAACGGCCCCAGCAAAGGAAGCAGAGACCCAGCAGAAAGCGGCGCTTCATTAGCGTGACAAAACACAGCCCCCGTCCCTCCCTCCCTCCCTCCCCCGGCTGCGGATGTGCCCTGAGAACGAGCTGTGAAACTGCCCGAGGCCTGGCAGCCGGCTCGGGGCGTGCTCGCTGTGGGAATCGCTGCCTGGAGCTGAGGCTGTGCCGAAGCGGCCAGAGCCTGGCTGGAAGCCATCCGGGCAGCACCGCGGCGGCAGGAGGTGCAGCAAGGCCGTCGTGCGGCCAGCTCCGGGCTGCGGGCACTCGGCATCCCCTGCTCTCCCAGGAGCGACTCCCAGGAGCCCGGTTGCCTGCGCCAGAGGTGGGAGCAGCCTGCTCCGCACCCGAGGTAGGTGCCCTCGGTGGCTCGTGCAGAGGAGCTGCAGGCATTTTTCTCTTCCAGTGAACCCCGTTTCGAGGCAGGGACTGGGGAAGGCTGCAGCACTACTCGGGGACTAATGGATGACCTGCAGGTTTGGGAGGTCATGAAAAAAAGGGATTCTTTTGAATGCAGGGGCAGATTTATTTTTGTCATGCCATGACGTGCGGAATCACTCTATAACCCACGTAAGGGTATAAAGCTGGTATGTGTATTGCGGCGCCGGGTGCAAGGGGGATATCTCCTCCTAACTCGCGCATCTAGGAAAGCGGTGACTGCACGTGTATAGGCAGAGCGCATTCCTGCCATTGCTCGGAAATTGGTTACATTTGCATTGGATGTCCACCTCCTCTGAGCATTCGTCCTAGAATGCGGGTCGGCTCTCTGGGCTCATCTGGTGGTCGCTGGCTGAGGGCTGTTGCGAAACCTTTACGGGGTTGTACCGTGTCGCAATAGCAGCTCTGCCTTCTTCACTTCACGGGACTCCCACCCATTATATCGCAAACAGCGGCTCTACTTATCTTCGCTTGTCTTCAAAGACCTCGCGTTCCTGTGGTTTCTGTGTTCCTCCCTGAAGTTTGCGAACGAAGTTATACTTTGATCGATTCAGCGGCATCAATGCTAATTAGATTTTATTCAGTCGTTGTTTGGTTTGTTATTTTGTTTTCCCTCATCCTCACTCGATAGGTCTGCTTTTTTTACCCATCCCCTGACGCTGTGTGCGACTGTCCCCGTGCTGCTGGAGGCTCTCCTTCCCCCTGCGAGCAGCAGCAGGAGGGGACGGGAGCAGCGGTTGCCAGGCGTGTTGCAGCCCGGCTTGGGCTCCGAGGGGCACAGGAAGGGGTTGGAGCTGGGACAGCGAGGAAGTGAGCAGAGGAGCTCAGCGTGCTCTGCTGCCCGGTTGGCTCTGTGTAACACAGCGCAGCTGGGAGTGCGTTTCTCCCTCTGGGCCACGGCAGACACGAGGTGACCTCGCTCCGCAGCTCTGCACGCATGGATTGATGTAAGCTTATAACTCCCCGATGCCTCCTTTTGAGTGCGTGAATGTGAAGCCTCCAAGGGGGGAATTTCCACTCCCTTCCCCCTCCCCGGCAGCCCGCAGTTTCCCTTCGGGGACGCAGCAGCAACACCTGCCTCTAGCGGCCATTTCAGCGTTACCTTTTGTGCGCTTTGCGCCGGGCTGACGGCTCACCTGGGGTCGTGCAAACTCCTCCCGAGGCTTTTGTTCGGGCTGTCCCGGCAGCTGCAGATGCCTTTAGCGCACAGCTGCGGGCCCTGAGCACGTCCGGCATCTGCGCCAGCTCCGGCACTGGGCTGCGTAACGGACGCTGAAAAGCTGGCAGCCTGTGGGCTGACTGGAGCACGGGTGCAGAACGCGGCCGAGCAGCACGTCAGTCAAGTGCAGCCCAGGCTGCGTTGTGCAAAGGGCGCCCGCTGCTGAGAACGGGCCCTGGAAGGGAGCGCAGGGTGCGTGCTGAGCTGATGAGGGATGGATATTATTGATATAATAGTAGTAGATATAATGTAGTGTTCAAGTAGTGCCTTCACAAGGCTGTTGTAACCGCGTGGTTGTTTACTGCATAGAGGGCAGGGTTAAGCACACACATAGAGGAGGCCCTCCCGCTGAGTCCCGAGGCTCAGAAGGTGCTCAGCTGGGCCCCAGCTGTTGAAGCAGGGCTCTGTTATCAGTTCTTTCAGTTCATTTTGAGACAGATTTGTGGCTGTTAATCTGTTCCAGCCAGAGCGTTACCTGTTGTGTTGTGTATTGCCTTCCTGTTAGAATTTGTTGTGAGAATTTGTTCTCGTACTCACTGCACACTGAACACAGGCAATGAGTGCCTATGGTGAGGTTTTCTGTCCTCATGTTAACTACAGTGCCTTTATCCCAGTATCTATCAGAGTAGCAGCATGAGCACAGTGTTTCCAGTTGCCATCCTAAGGCTGCTAAGAAAAGCAGGGAATCGTCTCGGTGGGGAATTCTGAACAGGTCACTCTGTTTCAGAGAAGGATAAATCCATGATGCTTACTTGTTCTGTTCAGCACTGCTACTATTCAATAAGTTGCCTACACAGTTCAGTTAAAATTACCAGCACAGCATCGGTAGGTGGTGGTCTGACCGTCACAGGCTGGTTTGGCTGCAGTGGTGTCAGATACTCTCTCTTCTCAGGAGATGAAAAAACAATCTCCGTTTGGTTGGACGTTTTGTTGATTTCTGAATGTGTTTGTTTGAAGTAAGCCATCCCATCTGCTTCCAGTTTAGCCCTTCCTTACCCGAGGAATGTGAGCCATTATCACTTTTAGGTAACATCAGCAGTAGGTGGATTTGAGAACTACGTCAGTCTCCTTCACTTCAGTGTACTTTTCCCAACCCCTGTTGGAGGGCTTAGTCGATTTAAGCAAACCCAAGGCTACTTCCACTCCTGAGAAGATGTACAGACATCTCCCAGAGGATTGAATCCCTTTGCCAGCAGGTGTTCCCCTGACTGATCTGTAGAGGTGGTTCTCCAGCAGGCTGCTCTGCCGGCAGCTGCAATCTGGGCTTAGGCTCATTGTGTTTGTGTGTCATGGGCTGCATTCAGTGTTCTTCAGTGAACCAGGTATTTCTCTGCACCTCCTGTTGGATGGCCATACCATTTTCTAAGAGTATTTCTGCAGCTCTTTCCTGGGTATCGGTCTCCTTTAGGCGAGCTTCCAGTCAATCGAAAGATCCCCCGTTTGGCACAGGCTGTCCATGTTGTGTTTCCTCATCTTGCTTCTCCACTCAGACGTCCAGTAAAACTCCCCTTTCCCTTTCCTTGTGTATCACTGTTCTGTTTCTTTAACTGCAGGCTAAGTTAGACAATAAGCACTAATTCTGCTGCCTCTGTTTGCCTGAACAGTGTAGAGGTAGTGCCTTTAATTACAGTGTTGTTGATGCAATTTCACATTTGTTTGGAATCTAACTCTAAGGGTTCAGGATGTGTGGCATAAAGGATTGTAGGTGACAGAGGGAAGTCTTTGTTCTGTGAATAAGCATTACCTTCAGAATCACAGAATCACTTCTGACGGAGCCCAAGATACCATTTGCTTTCCGATCTGCCAGAGCACACTACAGGCTCATGTAAAGCTAATCATCCATCAGGACCCTGGTAGCGCAGCAGAAATATTGCAGAATGTCAGTCGTTTTTCATCCAGGGAGGAGCGGGGCAGTTCTCCTTTGCTTCATATGTTACTTCCAAACCTGACATTTTGCTGATAATACCTTTCTGCTTTTGCACTCTTTTACTGCCCCTAATGACCTCTGCTTGCTTCTCAGCTCTAACAGTTGCCACGAGGACATTCACAGGAGAATTTGGAACGCGCTCCATGTCTCTTGTAATCAGTTTGTGTCCCTTCTTGCCATTCTGCAGACTTTACCAACTTGTCACAGATGGATCCAAACACAATATACACTCGTAAGGGAGAAGCAGGATTGTATTTATTGATATAATACAAATATGTTGTAATGATTTAACAGTGGCATAGCAAGATGGGAGATGGTTGGATACACTTGGTTATTTACTGCATAGCAGATAGGGATACAGCCACGCCTACAGGAGACCTTCCTGTTGAGTCACGAGGCTCAGAGTGGTCCTCCTTTCTATGTGCAGTCTGCAAACCACAGAGGTAAGGAGCCTGGCCATGGCTGGATCCACTCTCAGTCCCAGGCTTGGTCAAGCGCCTTACGTCAAAGAACTCATGTGCACAGTCCCTCTAAGACATAACCTCAGAGAAGCTCCTGTAGCTCCAAAGTAACCGTGAGTCTCTTACAGAATATCTCTATCAGGAAGGAGTCTTGGCGTCAAGGTGCAGGTGTGACCTCGAGAGACATCCCTACCTGAGGGGAGATCCCATTGTGCAGCCCGCTGCTGTGCAGGAGAGCTCCAAGGGCACTTGGGCTGCTCCCTGTGTTGGGGTAAGATGACAGACTGCTTTCCATGCTTTGTCTTAGGCACACAGTGCAAGTGCCCTCAGCTGTTGAACTGAGTGTCAGCCGTCAGTTCTTTCAGCCCCACAGTTTGAGACAGCTTTGTGATGGATCATCTCTTTTAGCCAGGGTGCTACCAGTGCTTTGCTCATTGTCTTCCTCATTGTGGAAAACCTGTTGTGCCATCCCCCAGGCAGGCAGTGTCCTGCAGCTGGGCTGTGGAGGGCTGGGCTGGGACAGGGACTGCTGCGTTCCCTCACAGCTCCCCTGCCATTTCTCTTGTCCCTGCAGGCTCCAGTTGGACTTCTGCCTTCCGGCCGTGATCATCTCACCTGCAGGAGAGCAGCAGATGGCCACAGCACATCCGTGTCAGGTAGGGGCTGGGGGCAGCAGGCAGGAGAGGCGGAGGGGCGAGGGATGCGAATGCCGGGGGAGAGGGAGGTGCCCTCAGGTAGCAGGTGTGTGCTGGGGCCAGAGAAGCGGCTGGGACGGGAGTTTGTGTCCTGTGCGAGCTGCTTCCCTGGGCCTTGGCTGTTCCCAGCAAGGAGCCTCTTTGCTTGCAGGAGCCCGTGAGCTTTGCGCAGGTGGCCGTGTATTTCAGCAGGGAGGAGTGGGCGCTGCTGGACCCTGCGCAGCGAGCGCTCTACCGGGACGTGATGCTGGAGACGTACCAGTGCGTGGCCTCACTGGGTGAGGGCTTTGCTGCCTTTCCTCCTTGTTAGGGCACCTTTGGCTGTGCAGAATGAGCCTCTGCATGCCGGGCCTAGAATAATCACCATGGAGTTATTTCTTGACCAACACCACAATCGTAGTAACAAAAGAAACACAGAGAAGCATGAGTTTCATGGGGGCTTATTGTGTTCAGCACTCTGATAAAAGCCCCCGAGTTAGTGTTGGCAAGCAGGCATCAGCCATGGAGGGCAGAACCATCTCCCTGCAAACAGCCCTTGTGTTCTTGCATTACACGGTGCCACCAGCTCCTGCTAACATGTGACTCTCTGGTTACTCCTTTAGAATTTAATATTTTGTATTCAGTTCCCATTATGCTTTCTGACGCCTTGGACAAGTTGAAAGAAAACAGACAAATTGTTTTAAAGGGAATGTTAAAGAAAATGTCCCTCCATAGTTTTCAGA